ACAAATAAGACTTTTCTATCCAATTTCTAAATAGAAGAAATTAATGACTTTCATAGGGGCAATTTGACAATTAAGGACAGGGGAGCTGGCGTTTTTTTTGGAAATGAATACCTTGTCTATGAAAATATAAATAATCTGTCCTCCAAAGGCAATAAAGTAAGCAATCTGACATTGAATTATAGGCCTTCGGTCATCTGTAAGGAATTCCAACTCTTTGCTGGCAAAGATGAAAAATCGAGTTCTTGAATTATATTGAAAGTCCCCCTCCTCCTTATTTTGTTAAAGCGATAAAATATGTTCCTGGTCATCACAGAAAAAATAATCTGCCTGAAAAATTTCTTAGTCAATATTCACAAGCCCCGGTCCCTTTTTCAGGAAAAGGGGTTATCGCCAAAAGACATTTATCTATATCTAAAATTACATTCGCGTGTATTTAAAAACATTACATAGAAAATTCTGAAATTACTTGTCTGTCATTTACATTGTGTGTATAAGAATAGCTTTGTTGAACTAAAATGAACTTTGAAGAATAATTTTGATCCAATGTTTTCTCAAACGTCTACGTTGAATTCTACCCTCCTATTTCGTTGTGATATTTTCCTTAATAAGTATTTCTTTAAAGTGTGTTTTTCCTGTGTGTGTCACTATTACTAGCATATATAAATATATTCACTTGCATACAATAATACAAGGATGGAGAATAGGACGGAAGACCTCTCGTTGCTCGCAACGAGTTTCTAGTTTTTTTTTTACTCTCCGTATTCTTCAGTAGGAATCTTCGGGTCATTTACAATGTTAAGAGTACGTTAATATTTTAAAACAATTACATACCGGTGAAATCTCTTTAATTTATTCTTCTGTATTTTCAAAGTCGGAACTTCAAGCGTTTACAACCCAGTATACAAGATACAACAGTAATGGATGAGGAATTCAAAATACCGTCTCCATTGTAAGACTTTGATCTCGATTGGTTAGATATCGGATATTGAAACAGATTATTAAAAACTATTTATTCATTAAAATTGACTTTAATTTAATCAACGTTTCGGTATTCAACAAACTTATCAAAATGCAAACTTTCTTTCATTTATTTCCATTATTTCCATTTTTAAGGAATTTTCAATTTTTGATCCAAACTCCTAAATGTACAATGCTGATGCTAGACAATCTGAATTATAAATAAGAAGTGATACACTTTTACTATAATATATACTTTTGCAAAAATCTCTAGTTTTTTTTCAAATCAGTCTTTCCATTTTCGTCGATTTTTAACTGCAATTTTTGTGTTATTTGCTCCAAAACGCAGAAATGCACTTATGCTTTAATGTCAAATGTCGTGAGTTGAGGGGCTGTGCACTTTAAACAAATCTACTTTCTATATTACAGTAAAGCTGAATTGAATGTTGATTAACGTATCATACATGTACATGAAATTAGCGCTACTGATAAGCGTACATTGCTAATGTGTTGATTAAATTCTCGTATTTTACTCTCTTTATTTTCCTGTGGTCTCTATATATTCTTATAAAACGATTGATATCATCAACAAAAAATACTGAATAATTCGATTTTTTGTGGATAGGAATACTAGAATTTTTCAGCTATTTATAGTAAATCCCATTATGTTCACGAATGTATTTTTAATTCATTTATTATTTGATACTAAAGTCTCTAGAGTACATTTGTTCGATTTGTAGGCTAACTATCAAACTATTTACAACAATTTGTAAATAAATTGATTTGATTCTGTGTCATATATATATATATATATATATATATATATATATATATATATATATATATATATATATATATATATATATATATATATATAAAGCACATTTTACAACAACTCTTAAATTAACATAGCTGCCCTAAGTGAAGAAATATTAATATAGAAAGCACAAGGTAATTCACTTTTGAAAGGATACCCACTTCCGCCCCAACCCGGGGTTGAACTCTCGACCTACGGAATCTGTCTCCTAGCAGTATACAGAAACAGTGCGCTAGACCGCTTGGCCATCTAGGCAAGTCATAAAACTTGCTTTCGATGCAGATGGAATTCTCGCGGCGCTGTATATATATCCTACATTACACGGTCATTGAGAATGGAAGTGAGATACAGTTTTTTGGACATTAGTTTCATTAGAGGATCGTTACCGATACATATTGTAATGAAATAATATTTTTTTTTTTAAAGAACATTTTACGACTCTTAAATTAACATAACATGCCTAGATGGCCGAGCGGTCTAGCGCGCTGTTCCTGTACTGCTAGGAGATAGATTCCGTAGGTCGAGAGTTCAACCCCGGGTTAGGGCGGAAGTGGATATCCTTTTAAAATTGATTCTATATTAATATTTCTTCACTTAGGGCAGTTTGTTAGTTAAGAGTTGTGTAAAATGTGCTCTCTCTCTCTCTCTCTCTCTCTCTCTCTCTAATATATATAACACAGACACTTAACAAAAAAATCAAATCAATTTATTTACAAATAATTGTGATAAATGGAATAAACTTTGATTTTATAAACATCATGAAGGTATTACAAAAACGTCGAACGATATTTATAAAGAATTATTGGGCAATGTCATTAAATGACAATATCTCTCACGCAATGCAGTTTATGAAGTGTTCTTCTACAAAGTCTTAATATAATGTCTTATGGGTAGTATCCACCACACCTATGAGATATAAAATGTCATAGCAATACTTGGAATTTAGGTAGGCATGCCCTTAAGTGTACCCTTCTAGGTAGGTGAAGAGCATGATCAGCATCAGATAAGAAAATTACACATATACTATAGTTGTACATTTGACTGTTTGATCAAAATCTTTGTAGATAATTTCATTCTATGATTAATAATGAAAATTTCATATTTTTGATGAGTCAGTATACAATGTACGAGATATAAGGTAGGTGCAATCCAGAAAAAATAAACAAGTTTTTACTTAATAATTTTGTTAAATAAAATATGAGAAGAATTTACAATCATTCATTATTTTGTAAAGCTTAATGGTACCTTTAGTTCAAGCACCATTTAACTTTTAAGGACAGGGATAAAGTAAATTACGTCATAATTTAGGTACAGCAGTACAAGTGGTTTAGTGTTTATTATTATGTACTCCAGGATTGTCTCTTAGGATGCAGACTATTGGGAAACATTATAACGGTTTACTGATCACATCAACAAATCTGGGCCAAATTTTAAAGACGATTAAGCGAGATTATGTAAAATGTAATAATTCCTATTGTTTAGATATCAGGTTTTGAATAAAAGGGAACATTAATTTTTATATCCTATTCCCGTTTGCAGGCGATAAATACGTGCATGAAAATATCAATAACACATTTCAGATTTTTAAAAAATTCACAGGAACATATAATGAAATCGTAAAGTTGTTAATATACCGGTACCAGAATACAATTGTATTTGAAAAAGATAACAAATATACACTGTGAGTATTTCTTTCAATGCTTAGATTTAATTAACAACTTAACTGTTAACATAAGATGTAAATTCTTGATTCATCATATTCAATAAAAATACAAGGCACCCAAGTTCTCAAAAACATCGCGATCGATAACTGTCATCCAATCCCGTCCTCATCCCTTCTCGGCTTTAAAACGTATTCATGTTTCCACCAATTATTTGAAAATCGTTCTTTAGAATTATATTCCCTCCTAATTTCTCTAAGATCAAGACTTGATTTTATCATAAATATGGAGATAATGAACAGTAATCAAGCTCAAAAGTCCATTGAAACAATACAAATCGGGAGTAGAGCAAAAGACTAAAAAGTTTTACAAACTTATCGAGGATTTTATTTTCTGTCTCCAAATGTTCTAAGAGATCCAGATTTGTTTTGCTCTAAAGCTTGAATTTAATTGTATGGGTGTAATGGGTGTAAAGGAAAATTAGAACATGACAGTTGTTTGAACAAGCAATAAAGTCTTCAAAACAAAAAAGTACTGCACTTTTAATTTAAAATTTTTGTGTCGTAATTTTGGAAAGAATCTCGATTGTCAACTCCTTCCACAAAATGGGTAAATATATGTTCAATTTTTTCGGACTATTGGTCTCATTTAATTTAATTTAAATTAAACAAGTTGATGAAACAAGAATATCAGCTGTCTCGTTTAAAGTCATCATTTCGTAAGTTCTATGGTCGATACAATGACCTTGTCAGCAAATACAATTTATTATTGAGTCAAATGTTGACTGACGCTTTTCATACAAATTGTTAGGCCATTATTTACACGCTGAATTGTCGACGGATCTTTCCGTTATTTCCCGATCATGACAAGGAGCACACGGCGGGTGTGACCGGTCCGCAGGGGATGCTCACTCCTCCATGGTACCTGATCCCACCTCTGATGTTTGGAGGTCCGTGTTTGCTCTGCTCCTATTTTGTATTGTTTGGTGGACTTTTGAGTCTGAATACTGTTCGTTATCTTCATATATTTCATCTCATACAATCTGAAACGATAGTATATTTATGTTGTAGCATATTTACAATCTACCATCGAGGAAAATATGAAGAGTTTGGGATGATAAGGTCTGTTTTGAAAACAAAAAATAAAAATGATTATTGGAGTGTGTTAACAGGCACAAGGACATACAATTTAAAAGAACCCCAATAAAATTTGAAGTCAACTAAGACAAAGCGAACTCAAAGAAAGCTCTAACAATACAAATTGTGAGCAGGGAATACATGGAGCTCTTAAACATGAAAGATGTGATCAGGCTCCATGCAGGAGTAAGCATCCTCTGTTGTCCGCCATTAGCCCTTGTCATGATCGGGTATCTAGGGAAACCGTAGAAAATTCAATATGAAAATAATGGCCTAATAATTTTAATGTCACTCAACATCGCAGTATATGTGTCTTTAAAATAAACTCCAATCTGATTCCGAGAATGAAAACATCTACAATATACTCTCAAAATTTCCATTTATTAACTTTCCTTTATTCATTACTTAATTACATGTATATGATATAATTTTTCATCATTTGAACACTTTTACACGCATGCAAACTCTCATAACTTAAGAATCACTGATGGTGATAATGGTACATTCATACAGAAACTTGAGGAATGTTCATCCACATTTAAATATCTCAGTTGTGATTTTCTTCTTTGATTCTTGTGAAGCAGTGAGTGCTAAAATTGACATCCTTCTGAAGTAGTGTACCAATAATAAATACATATTACATGTAATGCCAAAGAAAAATGGGAAAAACTTTAGACTTAAAAAATTTCGTCAACTACTGGTTGTTTTATTGAAGTACAATTGTAAATGAATAGTTGGAATGTAAATGTAAGTACTGTGATTCAGAAGGATGTGACCAGACACTTAATTTGCATCCATGCATATTTTATAGCGTGTTTAGTGAAAATGCCTGGGTAAAAAGTGTAAGGTCATTCCTTCATGATCTTACAAAACTAACATATACCTTCCTCAACTGATAACTACTTTAATGGTGAACATTTTCTTTTCTGTATTTATGGACACCGATATCTGTGACTGTTTTGAGTATAGCTGGTGCTGTTCAGAAGTACTAGTATACTATCAACACTATCAACTTAGTTTCTTTTCCGTGGATATCCCATTAGAACTGACTTGGTTTTCTCTTTGATTTGATTTTGAGTAGGTTTGTGTGTAGAAGTTAAGGAAAAGGACGAGCTGGGAGAAAGCTACCAGAAGCTGGCACATCAGATAAGCCCTGGGAAACCCGCATCCAATATACAACGTGTGTAAAGCATGTAACACAAACCAAACAAACTGTATCTGGAAAGAAAATGATAAAAATAATCAAAGTAGAACTAGGTTTTAAGTTGGTTACCTTAAAAATCGGGATAAAAATAGATTCAAGTTTGATTCAAACAATCAATTGCTATTTGAAAAAAAAAGTAAATTTACAAAATGAAGATTTCAAGGCAAAATATGCTATTCAATAACCTTCTTGGGTATACCTCCTGCTAGATCTATATATTACTAGTCAAAAAAAAAAAATTGGGATGGACGATCATTCCAGTTAAATTTTTCGGACCAGTAAGCTATTGATTTGCAGCTATATTATAGTAGATATTGCAGAAGAAACCTACCAGCTGAAGTTTTGTCATATGCTTTTTCCACCAGAGATATTTTTGCATGGAGGGTCCGAAAGCCGCCAGTAAGTAATACGTATACATTATGACGTGGATAAAACTGTTCAAACTAACGACAAGATATGCTGAAATTACAAATATACAAGTAAACTTTAATTAATAACAGATCATTTAAAAAGATTCTCTTTTTTCTTGTTAAAGATTTATGTATTGATTTCAAGGAAAATGTTAAGAATGGTACATATTGCTTACATTCTCCACCGGAAACGAACTTTGCCCCCTGCCAATACCAGAAAGGCATACTGGCATGATGATATACATGAAGAAAGGTAATTTGGTTGTTTTTCTTCCTCAACACAAAGAACACCTGTAAGGGATGAGATATAAATTTGTATCATAGATATGTTTTGAAAATTTCATAATTAAAAATCAATAAGATGTTCTTTCTTTACATACCGTGTCAAGAAATTCTATTAGTTTCGATATGTAGTAAAGCCAAATCACATTTGCCAACTGAAATAAAACATAGAAATTAATAAATAATGTGCATGCTTTGGAGACAATCACTAACAATTTCATAATCTAAGTTTTAATTAAGTAGATAAATCAATCACTAATACCCTTAATGCTTGTGGATTGTTAGAATAGTCAACTGGCTGACACACTTTGCTGAAATCTGGATTTAACCAGGCAGTCACCAGAGTCTATGAAAAGAATGAAAAGCAATAAATGTATTGATGTTATTCAATGTTCAGATGTGATTTTGATACTGAAAGGGCAACAGCAAATGTACTATCAGTAGATGTACAGATAACTGTTAAATGAAAAAAGGATTGGTCATCCAATCTTCTTTTGCAGACCAGTGAGTCACAGATCTGTAGTATTACATGTACTAATCTAGTAATTGTTTTACATGGCCTTGTAAAAATTTAATTACAGGTAGAGTTGTATATATGAGCTTTAAAAATAATTTGGTATTCAATGTTCATATTAATTTAGGTACTAAAACTAAAATTCCATGCAGTGCCAACATCATATGTACAAGCTCCAGATCAGAAGTTCACTGATCGATGAAATATAGGATGGTCACTCCACTATTTTTTTCAAATCATTCTGCTACAGACCTGCAGTTTTCCATGTACATGCATGTACTAATTGCTTTACAGTGGCTTGTATAAGTAAGAAAAATTTTACCAGTACATGATATGTGTACACATGTATATATACCTCATAAAACATATAAGCACTAAGTGTCACCATACAGAAGTTATAGAAGATCATTATATTCTTTAGATCGTATGGTTTCCTCGACTGCATCCAGACAGGCCCCATCTTCACCAAATACAGATATACAGCTATACTCAGAAAGAGAGGCACTGGGGACCGTACCATGAACCAATCCGCGGTCCGTGGGTCTGTGATTAATAGGAAAAAAATAATAATGATTATAATTTTCAAATTAGATGAACGAATAAACAAACGTTAGTTAAATTTTACTTAAAACATTAAGTTAGTATTTCGGAAAAGGGGTGGGGGTGATAGAAATTCCGTGACAGGCACCAGACATTATTATTAAGCTGGTTTTCTATAGTAAATATATACGTAACTAAGCAGGTAAATTTATTGGGGCACGATCCACGTGCACACCACCACCCTAAAGGTGGTGAATATAATCACCTTTTAAAAAAATCTGAAGGGATAATAAAGTTCCTATAGGAAAATTTCTATGGGATATTATCAAAATCCTGCAGATTTGATTATTTCCTGCAAGATATTTCAGAAAATATTATTATTGTAAAATACCATGTATTTAGTAATACAATCTCCAGCAAAATTATTAAATATTAACAAGTACTCATTCCAAGTTGGCATTCTGGGACAAAATCCTCTGCGAAGAGAGATAACTCTAATATTTATAAAGAACTGCGGACGATAGTATTGTTCTCCCGCCTATCTCCAAGTCAATTTTCAAAAGTGAAGATATTCGAATGATTTTTAATATTTATACGGATATTTATAAAACATTACTTCTTTGGGAAAACAACGAGAGATAACTCTAAAATTTTGGTAAAACTAATTTTCCCCCTCGTGAAACAAAAATTCCTTTTTACGGGTAATATGGACTGTCATTTCACAAATTCATACCAAAGCTTTTTGTGTTTCACGGGGGAGAACATATGTTTATATACAAAAAACGACAAAAATGCATATTTTTTCAGCAATTTCCAAGTGCTTTACAACTGAAACATTATATTTTACTAATATATATGCTTAATTTTATGTGCATAAAACATAAGAAAAGATTTAAGAAACATTTATTCATAACCAAGACTATTTCAGAATATGGTGATGCTTTATGGCCCGATTTCAGTGGAAAATATCGTCTACCTCCCTTATTTCAAGAGCTAGAATTAGGGATATTTTACTATTTAGCACTGGAATTAAAATAATTAATCAATTACCATTGAACTGTTCTTTGTATTAAACAAAGATTTTATGGCCAAATTGTCATCAATATTGAATTAAATATTTGTAAAATGTAGGAGGGAGTCGGGAGTTACCGTGCGTAGTTCTTATTTTCCATCCTTTATTGAATCATGACAATTTCCAAAAAAAGAAAAAAATAATAAAAAAAAAAATAAAAAAAATAAAAATAAAAAAATAAAAATTGTTATGCACTGTAATTACAGAATAAAAAAAACCTCAGTTCACTCAAGCAGAGGGCTGCATGCTCTATTTTACATGCTATAATATCTATCCACAGGCACCATAATGTGGAGAACGCCCCCCCCCCCCAACAGAATTACCACATATACATTGTATATTTCTCAAAAATATGTGCGAACGGATTTATACGTCGTTCTGTGGGTTTGTTTCCGTTTTGCTCACATTTGAATTTCAGGTATTGAAAAAATGTGTGCAAAGCGGGAATTTGTCAAGGTAAGATAATTTCTTAATTGCTATAGTCTGTATCATAGTTATGAATTTGGAGAAAAAGAATCTATGGAATGAATACAAAGAAAAAATGATTAATTTTGAATTTGGTATTTTGATTGATTTATCTAATTTCTTATTTAGAAAAACTATTTTGAATCCTAAAAATTATCATAAATACTAATCAAAACTATATTTATATTCATATGGTAATAAATGAACAAGTTAATTTTTTTTTATTATTAATCAGGATTGAAATCATTTACTAAATCATTTTATCTTTGTGAAATAACAGCTTCGATAAGATATCTGTCTAAATTATCTAATTCATCTTCAGTTGGGTCGCACAACTTAAATTTTCAGAATTTATTCTTTTAAATATATATATTATAACACAGGTAATTCCAGGTAAATTCCAGATGGAGATCAGACTAGTACTATAAATGTTATCAAAACATATTTCACACCTATTGTTCTCAAATGTGTGCAAAACGGGAACAATCAGTGTATTTTTGTTAAAGTTTAGAATTTGGCCATATATGTACCGTATAGACCAGACAGTATATGGCCAATTCTTAAGTTAATCTTTAAAAAAGTTCAATGGAATTGAAGGAAATTTGCAGAATTTTGAGATAATGTAAAGGCTCGTTATATTTTAGTAATTTAGCTGAGGAGTTATGAAGAGCCTTATCCACACTACGGGCCCCTATTTTCACCTCAGATATCAAAACAATTAATTCTGATTTACAAGTATCCATCTCAAGTAATGACCATGCAGCTAAAGACACTCGGATAAGGATTGCTATAGCTTCACTTCTGGCGCATGTGTTGGCATGGCCGTTATACACACATACACCTACCTCCAATGGAAATATGCTTTATACTGTAGAAGTACTGAAACACATAGAACCATGCAGCTAAAGACAGATAAATCTATAAACACGAATGACAAACGATGTAAGTATATAATGCACTGTATGCCTGTATAACTTACCACTAAGATCTTCCATAATATAATGGTAAAGCCGGGGTGTCTCTGTTATCTTGTTCATTCTGGAATTCTCATAGATCTTGAGAGAAATCATGTTATGAAAAAAAAAGTATAGTTAGAATTCTCAAGGTTTTAATTTGAAAAAAAGTTTTCATCAACACAAGACCAAAATCTAGCGATCGCAACTATTTAAATCAAACGCGTCTGTATTTCTAACTGTTCAATACATAGCTTTCTCAGTATCTGTGCAAACTCACGTGGATTTCACTTTTGTTCTATTTTCAAATGAAATTCATGGATGCATGTAAAATTTGGGTAATTATAATCATTTTGTGCTCTTTCACTGAAAAACTTTTACAGGAAAGACGAGGCACATTAATTTTGCCACATCTCTATGTATCAGGAAGGAAAACGTAAGATCTTATCAGCAATCCTACAGTTTTTTTGTTTTATTTTTGGTTTTTACTCATGTGTTGTTCTTTCCTGCGTATTCTACAGTGTAGGAGAGTTCTTGTATATAAAAGTATCTCCTCTTTATATATATATATATATATATATATATATATATATATATATATATATATATATATATATATATATATATATATATATATATAATTATTTTATTTATCATACATCTATTTGTCATGCAACAAGGGCAAATGTTAATTCACGGAAACGGATCAATTGTAACAACTTGTTTCCGAATATTTTTCCTGCGTGTATACTATTTGAGTGTGTACATGTATATTTATGCTGACTTAATTATTATTCAAATGAAATAAAATTTAAACTAAACTATTTACTTTTATACCCCCTTCACCCCTTACCCCCCCCCCCCTTTTTGCCCATTTTTGACTTAAGGCTATTAATTTCTTTTACTAGATACCATAGTGGCATACATGTAGATGTAGACTACTCGCTCCCCAACTCTTTCCAATTGAAAAACACAACCTTAATTCTCTGAATATAGGATTTATGGAATGCGAACTTTAATTTAATCGTCTTTCAAATTTATCCAACTTTTGATAAACTGTTTTCCTCATTTCATTTCTTGAATATCCATTTCATTTGATACATCGAATCATGCATACATATAGATGCAGTATATCGCCTTAGTTAGAATTTCATCTTTTCTTAAAGGCTTACATATGAGAAATCAACAACAACATATGAATAAACAATCACATGTAATACTTACCTCAATAAGACGTTTTCTACGTGTATATGAGGAGTTTAAATTATACAGACACTGATTATGCACGTGGATATACCGGCATACTTCCTTCCGTTGAATTATGACGTGACTCTATTGTCCAGCAAAACTACTTTTAAATGTCCGCAATTCATATCTAGGTCTAGACTAAATATAACAAAAACTTGACATGTGTATAAGTGCACATTGAACTTGTCAAGAATTTATCGATCTCTAACTTTTAAGTTTTGATAAATTATATAGTTTTTATAAAGTAAGATCGAGTTTTAAGATATTTATTTTAAAGTTTATTTTTTTTTTGCATAGTTTCACTGTTATCCGTGTTGAAAGTCACTTTCAAACTTCGTAATTTTATTAATATTTTGATCCACTGATCCTATTATCCATAAAGCACAATACAGACCAATAAGAGTGACCTAGTATTGACCTCGTTTATATATGGTCAGGGTACAGGTATGTGCACTAGCTATAGTTAAGAGATTAGTGGAAATTTGTGAGGTATTCTAATATATTCGAGCGATTGTCAACGAAGCTAGGCGTGATTGCTTTATTACAGAATATATTACTTCAGTGTTGATCGACCTGGTCGATACAAAACATTTTGCTATATAAGAAAATTAAGCTTGAAAAGATTGAAAACTATGGAAAGTCCATAGAAAACAGATACAAGAGGTGGAAAACTTTGAAAGTAAAATGGTAATTGACCCCGTACCCCCCCCCCCCCTCTACCGAAGGAGTATATGTTGACGTCATATCCTTTTGACCAGCGTTGTCTGCCTGTCTGTCCGTCTTTTGTTACAAACAGAGTCTCGGTTATAACTGGATACCATGGAATGTTTTTGCTCATGACTTATAAGATGTATAAGAACCTTGACTTTGTAAGCCATGTATGGAGTGGATTAATTTAAACTTACCAACAATGCGGAGTCTAGATCTGAAGGCGTGACAAAATATTGAACTAAGGACGTAAAGTCGTAACATTCGACTGGAATAAAATCGAAATTTTCAACGATCTTGTCTCAGTCTGGAATCAATTCTCGTTCCTCTGTACATAAACCTGTATGCGTGTATTTGGCAATTAAGATAGGTCGAGATACAAACTCATAATTCAGAATAACTTTTCAAATGAAAAGACACTTGAAGGTTCTTTTCTGCATGCAGTTGTCATCTCTTTTGAAGAAACAAAATGACGGGGAAAAGATATTTCAGAAAACATTTTCTAAAGGTCCTGAATATTATCTAGTTGATCCAAAGTGGGACCTCAACCCGATATACATGTATTTTTATAAACAGTCAGCAGCAATCTTAGTACACTCCTTATTTCTACGGAAATATATCGTATAGACGACGAGGAAAATCCAAGCTGTCTATTTGAAATTGATCAACCCGATATATTTCCGTAGACAGTTATGTAACAAACCTAACACATGCAAGTAATAATAGAGGAGTGGCAACGGAAGAGGTCGGAGGAAGACTGAAAAAGTACGGAGCAAATCCACTTTGAAAACAACAAGACATCACTGGAGGATTTAGAGGGAGGGGGTCCAGGGAGCCCCCCCCCATTTTGTGTCCAATAATATGAGTATGATTTAATACATCAATTTTTTGGTGTGATCGACCTCTGGACATCACTCCGACCCACAACTGCATGATTGTTTGCTCTTCTGTTTGTTTTAAATCTCCCATTATCTATGTCTTCACTATAACGCTATATCAATCGAAATAAGAGCATTTATCAAAAATTTTAACTCTTTTAAGTTTACCTGTACATATATACACAGCATAACGTTAAACTAAACTTAATGAAAAGAAATTATTTTATTACAACAATGTGAAACATCAAGATAAGTATTAATTATCAGAGAGAGAGAGAGAGAGAGAGTTTTAAACTAATCATTTTAGAAGGGTTTTTGAATATTGTGGAAGTAACAAAATAAACTTATTTTTAAGCAAGAGGCCCACTGGACCATATCGCTCATCTGAGCACGTTGGTTAGAGAACAGCAGAAACGAGCTCAGTACTCGCCCATCGTTGCCCTAGCCTTGCTGATTTGATCAAACGTGAATCTACATGTACGCTATGTAATGAAGCTTTCACATATGTTTAAACTTTTCTAGCCCAGGGGTCCTTGAGAAGAGGATTCTTATAGATTTCCCCCTAAACATTCCCGGTGTATAACTTTAATCGCCATTTGTGGTCCCATCATCCCCCCGAGGTAATGATTTTTGAACAAAATTCAGTCTACACTATGTAATGAAACTTTCACAACAGTCTCAATTTTTCCGTCCCTGTGGTTCTTGAGAAGATTTTTGACAGATGTCGGTAATTTTTCACTCATTCTTAATTATCTCCCTTTGAAAGAAGGAAGTGACCTTTCATTTGAACAAACTTGAATCCGCTTCGAACAAAGATACTTTTTGGTAGGTTTCGTTGAAATTGGTCCGGTAATTCTGCAGAGGATATGAAGATGTGAAAAATTTTACGACGACAACAACAACGACAACGAAACCAACAATGACAGACAAGGATGAATTTTAATCAGAAAAGCTCACTTATTTGAGCCTTCAGCTCGGGTGAGCTAAAAAGTTGTGTTAGTGGTGATTTTCTTTTTTTATGAAACGTTTGCTCTAATGTTTTGTTTTGGATTTTTAATATTGAACACATGGATACGTGTGCTAGAAGAAAATATACACAACAAAACGACTAAAAAATTCCCTTGGAGTAAATATATTGTAGGGAAAGCATCGTTACAGTTTTAAACGCCTATGCAATGTTTCTATCGTTTCTGTAGCAGGACACGTCTACAATGTCCGCTGATTTGCTTTTGTTCTTTTTGGTAATCCCATTTCAATCATGGTATTCAAGGTATCCTCGCTGAAGAGAAACTGTATATATGAAACGTACAAAATTTTAGCCTTCTCTTGACCCCACCTTAACTGGATGAACATTTAGTTCCGATCTATCTGTGCTTTATGTTTTAAATAATTCAGATTATGATGTTGATTCACAAAGATGTCAAGCCGGTTTAAGAATTGTATTGTAACATTGTGGCCTTTGCCAAGATTTTCAAGCTTGACTTCCAAAAAGAAACACCATTTTGAGTATTACATGTATTAGTGTTATTGTCTTTTATCTGTATGACTCAGCTTATGCTACCAAAAACGAGCATTTCATAGCATTTTAAATTGATTTATAAAGAACTTTGTCTGATAAAGACATTTACTATAGTGCGGGCATCGTCGCAAACTACGGGTTCTGTGTCCACAATGGACAAGAAACCAGTGGCTTGCGACGATGTGGTACCAAGTATGAAGCCAAAATTGTTCTTTGTTGTTTTTTTTTCCGTGATAATACAATATTTATAAAAAGTGACATGTGGTAGAGGTTACCTTTTTGTATGCAAGAAATAATTACAGACAAATTATGCTGAAAATAAATTTAAAAAATCATATAGTAGTGTTAAATCTAAAGCAAACTAGCATGGCGCGGCGCCATGCCCTTTTTTCCAGCGCCATGCCCTTTTTTCCTTGCAAAAATAAATAAATATGCCTAGCAGAGGCAAGATGGACTAGCGGCTTTGTTTATTCAGTGCATGCTGATTAGCCCCTTTGTTTATTGAATGCTGGCAAAGGTGTGAATTCAGGACAGGAAATCACTTCTCGCTTGAACGCACACAGCCACCTGGCCAGGTAACATGCCTCAGGCTGTCAGGGTATAAGAGATAACAGGAGAAAATATCATTTAATTGCATTGATTATGCAAGAATTATCCCAGTGTCAAAGATAGATTAATTTGTAAATTAAAATGTTACACATTTTAAGTCAGGATCGTTTTTTTTAATTTGAAAGTAGAAAAAACAGAGTAGATGAAGAAATGTGAAAAATAAAACTGCTGATGAATTAAGTCAACATACAATGTACAGTACCAAAAAAAAAACTGAATATTATGTGTGAAATGGGCTAGGAAACAACAAAGTATGAAGTTAGTTTCTTTCAACATGTTCAATGATCTGTGTTCTAACTTTTTGAGTTGACACCCAGAGGCTTTATGTTTCTAAGCCAGAAAAAAAGACGTTAAAAAAAGTGCCCTAATGAAAACTTGTCGCGGCGTAAAGTGCCCTTTCGATTATTGGATTACCATGCCCTTTTTAGAGTCTGGATTTAACACTATATAGATTCAACATTATTTTCTTTTCTTCGTTTGGAATGGAAGAGATCAACATTCAAAGAACGACAACTCAAGCAAACCCGAATCACGGACCGACGTCTGTAGTTTTTGCACACACATGCAATGACAATTTCTATACTAACAACATTCTTGTTTTAATTACTAATAAATATAACATAAGGTTTTATCGCGCCAGTTACATCCATCTTTAAATTGTTAAATATTATAGTTCAGAGGCAGTACTGTGCACATGTACAGCTTGCTAATAGAAACCCTGTTATTTTGTAAAATTATGTTTACTCCCCAGTCTTTCCGACTTCATGATCTGCCACATCAATGTTTAAAGGTTCAGGTTTTACAACTACGTCACATTGTATCAGAACACTTTTCATCTTTATAAAATGTGTGCAGTTTATTTTACTTCATTTAATTTTTTTTTAAATAGGACACATTTATGATTTTAAAGTTATTTAACAAATTCTGTACCATTCAGGTATCAGTATTCAGTAAAAGCTAGATTTCACAGGTGTGTTCAACTTCATTCTATATATTCTGTAGAGATTTGGAATATTATTATATGACGTGGTGTCCATTTTTTCATGGAATAAAAAAATAATTCTAATATTCAAATTTTAATAATTTTATTTGGATTTACATTATCTATTGCACAAAAAAGATGCCTATCAACCATTTACAGCATCAAACAAAAAAATAAAAATAGAGATTTTTTCAGATACTCCAAATTCAGATTTAAATTTAAAGTTCATACTTCATTCATATTTAACTCTTGATTCTTTTCTGATGAAAAGATGTGTACACATTTTTACAACACTAGAAAAACCCTTAAAACTTGACAAGTTCTGAAAGCGTAACTCACTTTTAGTTCAAAAAAAAAAAAAAAAAAAAATTTACTGCGTGTTCATTCTTGAGATCAATCAACTTTGCTGGTTTACACATCAAAATAACAATTTACTAATTACAATCTCGCAAGCAATGTGAATTAAATTTATGAGGTACTGGAATCTGCCCTTATTTTAGGATGCTGCATCTTTAAATAATACTAGTTCATATACATGTCTTAAATAAACATGCTTACTGGAAGAATAGCACTATATTTGATTGCTACAATACCAATAAATATGATATACTGACAAAATCTTCCTTTTTTGTATGTATATAAATATTAGGAAAAAAACCCATGGATTTGCTTACAAATGTTCAAGTGAAATTCTAAACTTCAACATTTTTTTTTTTTGGAAAATTCTGTCAATCACACCATATAAAATGGCAAGTTCTGTTGACATATGCTGTACAAATATTTAATTACCCAGCCTTCTCAACAATTTAAAAAGTTCTATAAATGTCACTGCTAATAATTTACACTTTTTCAAGAGGAATGGTTTAGTAGGTATGACAGAATTTTCGATCATAATATCAGCTTACAATAAATGAGAAAACATGTCCTTTGTTCCTCTATTCATCAAAAGTACACATTTAAAGTTAAACAAAATCTTTAAAATTGTCCTAATTGTTGGAGACAAGAATCCAAAATGGATAACAATTATGTACAAATGATAATTGCTTGACAAAAAGTATAAAAATAAAAGTGTCCCCAACTGAACACGAATTTCTCATTGTCTCGAAGACAACTGCATCCTGGGGAAGGATGGGTGGAGTTGATCAGCTGACTAGATGTTTGGATTTTCACTCCAGTTGTTGATTGTTCAACGATTTGCGACCATTGTTCCTAACGTCACAAGGCCGACAGCCGTGAACATGAGTCCTTTCCACAACTTGTCTTCCGTTGCACCTTGCTCTGGGAAATAATCAGCAAAGGCGTCCTATAAAAGACAAAAATACCTCGTTTAAAAAACACAATTCTCAATTATTGAGAGACCATACCTGATGTCATGTATCATGAGATCTTTTTCATACATTTAATTAGGATTAGCCAGGCTTATAGTTATTTTGCTTAGTGGTTTGACACTCAATACATGACTTCTCCATACATGGAAATTTTAAAAATAGTTTTCTACAAAAGGACCCTTTAAATTAAAATATTTGCCAAGTTGAGAAATGCAGAATGAAAGCATAAAATGAATCACCCATATTTGTGGTAAAATCCAGTCTAAAGAGGTTTTTAAATGGAATTTGGCTATCTGCCAAATGTATTCAGTATTCATTGAAAATTCAATACACTCACTGGCACACTACCAAAGCATGTCTGGCACATTTGTATAGATACTAAGCAACCATGAAGACCTTACATTCTAATAATTCTTATCATGTATACTTCAAAGACATTTCTTAATCTTCATATATTTTTTTAAAATCCCCACAGATACTTGTTTCAGATGTTTTTTCCTAAATAAATCTATTAATATAATATTGTTTATTCCAACTAACACCCGACTCAAAAAATCATGAATATATTATCAATCCTATGAGCAATTTTCACTTACCCATCCCCCATTATCCAAGATCCATTTCCCCAATTTACTCGCAACATATTTTCCAGCATATAGGGCAATTCTTTCTTCAGAGTCCGGACTATATTTCTTACAATGGACTGCTAACCTAGCTGCGAAAGTATACACCGCAACAATTCTACCCCAGTTAATTGTCCCATCTTCAAAAATTTCATCAGCAACTGATACAAATGTCGGGAAGGCATTAGTGTCATTCACATTTAGTTTTTGCACCATAGATTTGAAAGCGATATTATGACGATCAGACATTTCTTTCACAGTTCTTCTCATGGTTTTACAGTATCTATTTTGAGGAGCTCTATCACTATTTTCCTCGAATGTAGCAATCACATCTGAGGCAATAACTTCTGCCATCTGTCGAACTTTATCCATAGGCGTTGTGCTACCAGGAGTTTGTGTTTCTTGATCTAACCTCGCCATATCTTGACCAAGTCCCGCAAATCCAGGAAGAAGACCAAGCTGCCGGTTAATTTCAGTAAATAAATTTCCTTTGAGAAAGTTTCCATTTGAATGTTTCAGGTTTTCTACTTCACTTGCCATTTCTAAGTCCAAATCCACTGTTAACTGTTCAATTAAAAGAACAAGAAATGAGATGTAAACAAGAAAACGAGAAGTCTTTATACGTCTAACCTCCCAAAATGGCTGCGGTCTTCTCAGGAACGGACCGATTCACGTGATAACTAACCTTCTCTCTTATTGGTCAATGGTGTTTATAAAGTATGTGACGTAAAAAACAATTCTATATTTATACACTGAGAAGATTCCACATCATACGTCATTCAGAAAGTAAGGATTTGATTGGACAATATTATTACAGGAATTCCTGCGAGAGGGACGAAAATTTTACGGAAGAGTTTCCTCCTCTCACGGTAGTAGTTGTTGAATATATTGGAAAAATATATTTGATACAAATTACCATAAAACAGATTATAGGAAGTGGAAATTATCAGGTATGTAACGTTATACTTATCTCAAAGTAGGCCTATAGTCTCTAGAGGCCTCTACTACTGCCGAATTTCCTCAGCAATTTTTTTAGATAAACATATGGTTTATTATGATTATAGGGTACTTTATTTGGAAATTGTTTTTGTTTTTAACTTTGCAATGTTTTTTCAATAATGATGTTTTGACTTTTTGTTTTTTATCTTGGTTTTTGCAATGAATATAAAGAAAATGAATGTGAAACTTTTTGAAGCCAAGTGGGGTGCGTCGATTTACCCAAATGGAACCCAAATGGACCCAAATGGAAACACAAATGGACCCAAATGGAAATCAAATGGACCCAAATGGAATATTAGATATATATTATCGTATCCTCAAGTTGTTACTTATTTAAAATGATGAAAATAATAAACTTGCAAATGGAAAATATTAATTATTCATTTCTAATATTGTATTTTAAAATACGAATTATTTTTTTTCTATTTGAAATAACTTTTGCATATCATTGAATACAAAATGGAAGTATTTCATATTAAAGTTTATAGATTTCATGGCCGTAGGAACCCGGGGGGGGGGGGGCACGAGAGAGGCGCACTACCCCCCCCCCCCCCCCCAATAATTTTGCCGATATATAGAATACTATAGAAAATTAATTCGTATTTTAAAATACAATATTAGAAATGAATAATTAATATTCTCCATTTGTAAGTTCATTATTTTCATCATTTTAAATAAGTAACAACTTGATAATACGATTATATATATTTAATATTCCATTTGATTTCCATTTGGGTCCGTTTGATTTCCATTTGGGTCCATTTGTGTTTCCATTTGGGTCCATTTGAGGTCCATTTGGGTTCCATTTGGGTCCATTTGGGTAAATCGATGTGCTGGCCTAGTGTTCAGTAATAGATTATTTTGCTCAATTTCATTCATGTGAAAATAAAAGCCTAAGTACCATTGTATGACTATGGTGACATTGACAAAGTCAGGAGCATATAGATTTGTGATGCATGTGCAGTATTGTAAACATGTTTAACTTTATGCAGGGACCTATATACTAACGTGTTAGATTTATGCTATGTACTGCATTTTGCCAAAAATGGAGAAAGTTTCTTAGTGAGACACACTGCAAAACATTTTTCATTCAACAAATTTACAAAGTTTTTGCATTTAGGGTATAAGATTAATCTAACATTTTTGGAAAATTTCTTTTAAAAGAGAAAATAGTGTCGGCATGATTTTTTCATTAAATTTGGATGTTATACCTTTCTATTAGCCATGCTAATGTCCAAATTTTACTACATGTATTCACTGACTGAACTTTCGGAAGAAATATTGATGGCAGGCAGGTGAAGTCCTTTATCCAATCAGGCAATGACATCTAGCATCATTCCAGTATGAGCCAAAATGAAAATGCAATGTTTGAAATGGGTTAGATATTATTTCAGATATTGCATTGCCTGCTTTAATTTTATCAATGCTGTATATTTTCATGTAAAAAGTTGATGAAATTTGTTTTTTGTGTGAGCAATTTAAGTGACCATAATTCTGTTCACACAATGCATACCGTCAGTTAGAAAAGCTTGAATTTATAACTTAGACCAATAAATGTAAAAAAAGAAAGTTATGTGATATTTTTTAATCTTCTTCAAGTTAAATATACAATTGAACTTCGATATCTCAAAACTGATATCTCAAATCCATGAATATGTGGGAGTGATTTGGAAGCTAGTCTAAACCCTTTAATAAAGTTTATCAAGTTTATCATCTTTATTCTTTATGTATTTTACCCTGGATCATAACTCTCCACTGTGGGACGTGGAGACTGATCCTTCAGATGAGACCATATAAATTGAGGTCCCGTGGCACAAAAAAGAACCCTCACTGCTTAATGGCCCTGAATGCTGAGTATAGGTATAAATTTGCAGCCCTCCACATGCAAGCGGTGGCGTCTCCATATGAGTGAAAAATTCTTGAAAGGGACATAAAACAAACAAACCCTGGATATCTTGAATCCTTGGAAGTTTCCTCTCAAAGTTTTTTTCTCATCCCATTGAGTTCAAGATAACAAGGTGTGACTGTATATATATGGATACCAAAATCTCTAATTCATGGTGAAGAATGTGATGCTCATAAAAATTTTGTCATTTTATAGAATCTTCTAAATTGACAACAAGCAGATACATTTGTTTTTTCTCAATGCAGAGATAAAAATTAACTTTAAGAATTATTCAATTTATCCTGTTTATCAGCCAAAAAATATATATGTAACCAGTTGATCAAATTATATGATTTGTGTTCATGTGTGTGTTACAGTGCCATGAAAATTCATTGCTGAAATGCATGTACATGTATTTAATTTTTTTAATTTTCAGTTTCAATTTCCAGTTGATGCCTTGTCTATGCATTTCTAACATGTCTAAGCTTTTGAACACTATTTCACAAATGCAATATTTATGACAGCTACAATAATATTAAGAAGAGCAAAATTTAATTTTGATTTCTTATGATTTCTAGGACATGGGATCTGAGGGAATGGAAGACGATCAAGAGGAAACTCAGAGAACCCTACCCCACCCAAGCAACAACCCCAGGATAGAGGTGACACGGGCGGAAAGTACAGACAGGACACAGAGTGATAATGAAGAGGACATAGACGACAGCATGAGAATAAGTCAACAGAGGGTGGAGCGGAGGGGATCTGTCCCCACAGGGCTGGTAGAACATCACCTGAATCCCCAGTCACATTCCATCTGTGGACAAATTCTTAGAGTGATGGGAGACGAGCATTATTCCAAAGGACTCGGTAAACATTTAAGGTACATGGGTGATGAAATGTGTTATTCGTACTATTTAAGAAATGCATACTACAATTCGACTAGGGAAAATTCTTCAACTCTGACAAACAGTCATTCATTACCGGACCTGAGGAGACAAAAACATGATAAAGAATGACCGATGTAAGTGAATTCTAAACGTCGGAAAGTGTCGAGAAACCAGTCAAGGGATGCAGTATAATTTAACCATCAAGAAGTTGACTATGGTCAGTATTCAGTAAGGATGAAAAAGGGGAGATACTTTTCCTAAACTCTTGTGAAGGATATTTATAAATGTTCATAGATCAGATAGAATGCAATTTGTAATTTACTAAATGGTTGTACAATCAGTGATATAATACTTGAAATCATTTTCTTGATCAAGTGAAGTCATTGTTTGAAAAGGTTGAAGTGATTTAAGGCATTGTCCTTTTTTCACATTGTTGATTTAGAACATAATTTTCTTTATCTATCTTTTTTTTTTTATCAGTTTTGAGGTTGTTGGTACCTGAAGTGATATCAGGCATTCCACCTTGTTTACAAGTCTATATGAGATAAATATCTGGGAAATATATAAACACCTAGATCAGCAGAGTAACAGACAATAAGTTGAATGTTAAATAATTTAAATACCCTTATTCATTAAACTGTGTATTGAATTCATGTGGTCAACAATGCTATATATGACGTATTTATTTCTGACAGAAGACACGCATAGATAAATTTGTTTACTTTGAATGATGTAATGTACGTATTTAAAAAAAAAAAAAGGTAAAAGATTTTTCAAATGTATTTTTAACAAAAAAGAGCATTTACCTGAAAGGTTCACATTGATTTTTGCCAGTTTGGGATTTTTAAGTTCATCGATCCCTTCATTTATCAAGTTTTTCAAGATATTTATAGTATGTTCTTTATCAATGGGTTATTGGTTGGTTTCATTTTTTTTTTAATTTAAAAAGAAGCTTAATCTTGATCAGAACATTCACCATGTTAACCCAAAATAGAATTTGTTTGAATCGAAAGTTAATTAACTAAGAAAGAGATTTTTGGTATTTAACTGATTTAAAGATTTTTTTCTTAATGAAAATCCTCTCTACATTCCTGTTCAAATATTTGTTTAGAGAGATTGGAATTTTTAAAAAAAAACTCTTAATTAAGATTATCATTCACAGTAACACCTGTAAGGTGTGCATCTATTGTGTATAAGATATTTTGTTATGTGGCCAATGACCATACAATGATTGATTTTCATTATAAAATTAATTTTCAATTACTGTATTAGAAGGTGCTGTGAAGTTCAATGTTTACATATAAACTTTGTAAGTGCCATATTCTTAATAAAAGGTTGGTTAAATACTGAACCAAACACTGATTATCTGATTAGAGAAATTCAGTGGTGATTTAAGATTGTTATCATGGTTATTCAGTTACCCTGTTCAAAGTCTTTCAACATGATTACATAAGAATACACTGGATTTGTCTTTCCATAAACATGTTTATGCTCTGGAACAGAGTCACAGGTTTTAAGTACAGGATATCACTAGCAATCGCTGATAAACATGTTTTTTGTTTAATATATTGTACATGTTGTATATGAAAATGTATGTAAGATAAATCTGTTGATTATTCGGTATAGTTTATATACATGCACTTTAATGTGTTAGTGTATTTCTTGGTACTGAAAACCATATGGGGTCAGAAATATTAAAGTACCTATATCTATTAATTATTTGTTAATAATTGAGATAAAAATAGTACACATCATGAATATTCTTACACAGATTTAAAGTGCATGTGTCTGGTTTCTTAAACATGTTATATGCATGTGAAGTGCAGTACAAAGTACAAAGGAACTCGAGATGAAATCAATTAACATTACACACAAGGCCAAATATTATTTATAAATATATATCATGTAATTGTAACATATTGGCAAGAATCTATAATATATTCTCTTTGTCCTTGTTTGGTCCACGACTGGACAATGGTGGCGTTCATTAAATAGAACAGGATATGGTTAGTTCTGAGTACTAGTCACTTGTATATTTAAATGTTGAAATCATTCGATCAAGCAAATTCTAAAAGTGAATGTCTGATTTTATGGAAAATGACAAATAGGAATTCATCATCTGTAAAGATTGTGATGGTATATATTTGTCACTATTTAAATGCCCTTTCTGACAATGGAAGTGTGAAAATGTATACAATTGTACTTAAAAAAATATTTAAAAGTATTCAAACTTTAAATAAATAAATAAACATACAAATTGTCACCACCTGAATAATTCTGTAAGGATATAAGTAAGTAACTAAGCAATAATGGTATGGCATTAAGGGTATGAATTCAACCATGGGCCAGTGATCATTAAGATTTTTAAAATACCAATATATTTGTTGTTATAAATTTATAAAGTTTATTTCAAGTTCACTAATTCCAATTGAAATTATGGATTAATCTGGCAAATGATTGCAGTGTTTGTTTATGCACACTGCTCCAATTTCAATTTAGTTACGCAATATAAAGAATACTTTCTTTGGGGCACTTCAGTGATTTCAAAATATAGAACTCTTTCAATAGTTATTTAAATATATATAACTTAGATCAAGGCACTTGTTCGTGGAACACACATATATATTACTAGCTAAACCACTTTGGCAGGGTCCCAAACTAACTCCCACGTAGAGTGAGTGGGGAAAACCCGACCTGCCCGAATTGTTGATAAGTGAGAGATAATCACTTTTGTAGCTTTACCTGAACCTGTTCATCTGATATTATGTACCAGGTACACCATGGATTTAATATATCAAATGATAGTTAGTCAAGTTTGCAAAAACTCACAGCAATTGTGTTAATGAATGTATAATTGTATATTTTGTATATTTGATAGTCAGGTATTGTACCAGGATAGATGAGCAGTGGTTGTTTGACATTGAGTCAGCAATAATAATTTATAGTATAGATCAATTTATACATACATATATAAGTGATAATCATGAGTAATTGTTTAGTTAGCATAAACCTAGTTGTTGACTTTTCAAAGTTTATTTGTATATATCTTAAGCTATATCTAAGAGGGTAAAATTGTAATGGCACCATAAAATGGAGATAATTTTCTTGATTGTTTGTTTGTAAGATGATGCAATAATATGTGGGAATAACTTAGAATAACATTATGCAAACCTGTGCAATCTTCCTTGTTACTTACATTGTAAGGTGTGGACCAGGTGTTAGGTGATGACACCTTTGTATATAACATACATTTTTACCTGTCAAACAGGTAACAGTCACATGGAGAGGGTAACTTGATTTTACACCTTACAATATTCATTAGGTATGTTAATTATTTTGTCATATTGTGTAATTGGTTACCTGTTGGATAATTGTGATAATCGTAAGACTTTCACAGTACATGGTGTACAGTGTATATCTGAAATTTTCCTTGGAGTGCCTCAGAGGGCAGAGGTCATCAAAAAGGATGTCATTACAGCTTTTTGTTAAACATTTTAAACATTTTGAACATAAGTTAGTTTATGAAAAGTATTTAATAAATTTAAGTAATAGCATTTTATGACTTATTATTTTTTTATAAGAGTGCATGAGTTTTTATAGTTGAATTTATATGTACAACAGTGAGTTATATGAACTTTAATTTAACTACAAAGGAATATTAATTTAAAAAAAGGTTTAGAATTAAATGGAGATCTGGGAATAAAGTTACTAAAGGAGTTTGGAAAATGGATACCTTCATGCTCAATTTTTAACACCATCTAGAAGTTTATGCCTTTGATACATACATGTATATTTTATGTTTACAAAATTTTTAGTAGGAAATAATTTAAGGTTCATCAATTAGTCAGAATAAAGAAATGTTAATTTCAATAAGAATTAGTAATATTGTCCCTTCTTTTTGCCCTAGCTCTGGAAGCTACATATACATTTCTATTTTTAACCTATTATCCCTGTTACACAAATGCAAGATGTTGTAATTGTACACAAACACGGAAACTTATAAAGGCTTAAGTTTAATATTCTATTCATTTAACTTTCATTTTTAAATCTTAAATGGGAATTTATCTTAATTGGCGATCATTAAGATATTCCAAAATAAATAAATGTCCGAGGAATGAAATAATACCCCCCCCCCCCCTTGTTAATTAAAAACTGGATGGCCGTAGAAACTAATATCTGTTGCTGTTTGTAAATGACCCCCGTAAAAGCACCGACAAAAATTTTTATATTATTGACTTGAGGGAAAAACGTTACGGAAACAAAGTATATTTAATTTTTTAACAAGGAAATATTTTTGTTAAAATCGCGAAACTGGAGTTATGTTAAATAGACATAAAATGAATTGAGAAGGGAGGGGGCATCCAATACCTTTTTCTCATTGGAAAAGTGCAAAAGGAGAAAGGGTCACAATTTATATGAAGTGTAAAACACGTATCTCCAGTGTTTGCATGTAAATGCATTTAAGAACTTTTAATAATAGTTTATGTTTTAAGTACAAATTCTTTAGGTGTGATGATGTATATTTTACGTAAAGGCCTGTATAAAGATTTAGATTAATAGGAAATTGCTTCTATATTTTACCTACAGGTGGCAATTAACATCATTAAACACCTGTACAAGTACGCTATTTGAATACAACTTCACACCTGTTACATGTTCTTGAAAAGGTTAATTATTAGTTATCAGTTGTATTTCTTTTTCCCACAGTAATTTTAAAATTAAGCAAATTGAAAGATTAAGAATTATACAGCATTCTTGACTACTTAAGATGCTCAAAATGCACAAAGAATTGATAAACTCTGATCGATTTTGTTAAAATAAGGTACTTCCTTGAAAACAATACAAAAGTATACCTTTCTATGCATATGCACATTAGCTATATACCACTAGTATGCACTTGTTTTATATCTTTGTGTAGCGAAAAATGCTATTATGTTAAAAGTTCTTGAAGATGATAAATCATGGCCTATATAGTCCCACCAGACTCATGCTTACATTTTTGTCACTTTTCCAACCTACATGTAGAAAACTTGAGCAGAAAGTGTGTTTGTCTATACTATACGTGCAACAAAGGTACCAGGTACATTTTATATATAGTGGCGATGATTGCTTATTTCCAAAGCAGACGACCGACTGATCATCACCAATGTAAATACTAGACTAAGTACATGGTGTACATGTAATTGCATGTTCTGTTACAATTACATGCACATTCTGTTTTCATATGAATAATGAATTACAAGTCCCTTTTTTGTGCAGGCCTAGCACAACGAAGATATATGAATCAATTTTGATCATTTAAGCAACTAGATTAAAGATATTTTTGTCAATAATAAATCGATAGTTGGTCATAATGAAAATTTTCATGTTGCTTTGTAACTTTTCAAAGTTTTCTTTTATTTTATGTCGGTTAGGCTGTTTATATTATGGAAAGGGTTGGGGTATTTTGAACTATGGAGTTTATTTTTTGTGTTTCATACTGTGCACATATGAGATAATCAAGCTGATGTGACTGTGTCGTGTAACTGTTATGCAGATCTATGTCATTTTTCTCATTACCGAACCTCGAAGATGTAAAACAGGTGTCTGTAAATGATTCACTGGCACAATAATGCTTAGTTACAAGTATGAAGTAGATAAAAGGCATGTCAGTTTATAAATGACACCATCACTCTGTGCATTAAAATTTTAATATGTATGCTTGTACTATAAAAAAGAAAAAACGTAAATTATATGTTATTTCTTGTTATTTTTTCATTAATCGTGATCGATAGTCACTTTTATAATTATGACAGTTTCTAAGGGCACCTTAATTTTATCTTCATAATATATCTGACAAGACGACATGCGTATTCAGCAAGTAAATAACCAGTAGTATCCTCTTTCGAGTTTACTTTTTTGGCCCTCAAATTATCTGACAAATCGACTTAATTTTTCTGAGAAGTCAACGTATTTATCAGATAACTTGACATAATTTTTGGCAAATCGTAATAATTATTGAACAAGTCGACATAACCGTTATCATACTTGTCAAAAAATGATGTTGACTGTCACGTCGTATAATTATGTCGACCTGTCATTTATGAATAAACAATTTGATAGACGAGTAAACATATTTTCAGATAAATGGAAATGATTATCTGAATAGTCAAAATAAATTTTGTATGATATGTCGACTTGTCAGATTAAGATGTCGACTTGTAAGATGTACTGTCTACCTGTCAAAAATTAAGTTTACTTGTCAGATGTTATATCGACTTGCCAGATAATTATGTCAACTTGTCAGATATTTATGTTAACTTATCAGATCCTATGTCAAATTGCTAGAAAGTCATGTCGACTTATTAGACAGTAAAATGATTATATTGACTGGTCACATCTTTATGTCGAATAGTTGGATCCATATTTTGACTTGTAAGAAAATTTTATTATCAATTGGATGGCATAAAAAAGACATGGACACCTAAAAAAAAAAAGATATGAAAAGTAGACATAAACATCAGACAAGTGATTTCAGAAATATGCCCCCTATAACATGTATATTGTATACAAAATTTAGACATGAACTGAGCATAATGTGTATGTTCTTAAACATTATGCCCAACAGTTAACACTCTTGTCAAAACGTAAGATTCAAGTGAAACTTAAAATTGAAACTGACACACCCAGAAAGAAAATTTTCCAAACTCAAAAACCCTATTTCGTTTTTAAACTTTTCCCATAAAAATTCTAAACACAGCAACTTGTCCCAATTCACCATACTTCTAAAAAGTTTGGGGCTTTCAATGAACATATCCGTAGTTAACAGTAAAACTTTATGTTTGAAAAAAAATGTCCCTCTATGAGGCGCCCTTTTGGTTTTACTACCAAAAAGTTATATCACCTATTCGAATAGGTGAAATCACCTATTCAATTAGTGATATCACCTATTTGAAAAGTGATATCACCTATTCGAAAAGTGATATCACCTATTCAGCTTCTGAATAGGTGATATCACCTATTTGATTTGAATAGGTGATATCACCTATTCGAATAGGTGATATCACTTATTCGAATAGGTGATATCACTTATTCCTTTTGAATAGATGATATCACTCATTCGAATAGGTGATATCACTTATTCAAATTAAATAGGTGATATCACCAATTCAAATAGGTGATATCACCTATTCGAATATAGGTGATATCACTTAATCATTCTGAATAGGTGATATCACTTATTCGAATAGGTGATATCACCTATTCAAATTATTTATGAAATAATAACTGCTCCCAAGACTATAGCCTTTGATTCTCATTTACTTTCACTTTTGATTCATAACTTACTGTTCTTGGAGACAATGGATTACAGCTTCGCATTTAGTTTTAGGCACCTTAGTAGAATTTGTAGTTTGTTTTGCTCACAAATTATATTTATTACACTTATCTATAAGGTATACTATAGGAAAAATCGTGAAAAACGCATAACTGTTCCATACGGAAAATGCCCCACTTTACATAATAAAGAGAGAAAGGTATGCCAGTCTGTTGTAATCCAGCTTGGTATAATTTATAAAATTTATATAGCTTTACAGGGGTCGATAACATAAGGTATTTAAAATATCTCGGACTCAGTTACAAGGGAAAACGGGGCAGCCCAAATTTGCTTGGTTCTAATGGAAATCTTAGATAGTCTTGAGGAAGGGAGCATTCATTATTTATTGTTGTAAGAAATGCAAATAGGTGATATCACCTATTCGAATTGGTGATATCACCTATTCAAATTGAATAGGTGATATCACCTATTCGAATAGGTGATATCGCCTAATCGAATAGGTGATATCACCTATTCGAATAGGTGATATCACCTATTCATTTCCAATAGGTGATATCACCTATTTGAATAAGTGATATCACCTATTCGAATAAGTGATTTCACCTATTCGAATAGGTGATATCATCTATTCAATTTGAATGAGTGATATCACTTATTCGAATAGGTGATATCACCTATTGGTATAGGTGATATCACTTATTCGAATAGGTGATATCACTAAATGGCAATAAATACCAAAACGGCGCCTCATATCCCTCCCCCTTTTGGCCTACCCCATATATACATGTACTACGTGCCTGCATAAGGAAGGTGACTTGGAGCAATTACTCTGTTAGAATTCTTAATATTTAAACATTGGGCATACATACATATAAATCTCTTTCTTATAGAGAATTCCTTTTAATGCAGAAATTTGAAATTGCAGCTATGAAAATTGTATGAGTTATCGTGTTACGATAGATGTCATTTAGATAGACAGACAGACCTATCTGGCTTCATAATTCCATGCGGGACCCTAATTTTATGCTTTTTATATATACTTGTTATTCATGTTGCTATAAGTTATGATGCTAGACACAGTTCAAGGTCAGCCAATTAATAATACTGAAGCTGACTCATGAATGGTTGGAATCCGCTGCATGTACATGTATACTGAAACTTTCGGAAAGCGCGACAATAACAGGTTTAAAAATAGCACACACTGGCTCTTCTCATTTTCATGTACATATATAATATTTT